CGCGAGCTTCATGTTGAACTAAGGGCTAGAACGGGGCCAGGGCACACTTTCCATCCGTTCGCAGTCTATATATGCCTATATATTAATTACTGTAGTAATATGCTTAAAGATATGTTTATCTATTCCATCCTTTACCAGGCTTTTGTTGTCTCAATTCATTTTGAGAGAGCGAGACCTAGTTGGAGAAAGACCTCACCTTTTTGCTCGCAGCTTTTTGCAGAGCCCATGGCAGAAACAGATGGCCCAACACATGGGAGAGGTAGGCAGAAACTCTCGGAAACCATGCCTTTTGTCCAATGGAGCATTGACTGTAAGGCTTCAGCACTCAGGACACATCAAGATCAGCTGACGACCTCTCGAGGTAGAGTTGAGTGAAGCCCCACTGATAGAACTCACGCCAGCTGTACTTCACGCGATTTTTCGTCCCTTCCAAGCCTGGCTTGTTTTGTCTGAACGCCGACCATTTTTCCAGGCAGCGGGTGAGATCTTGTTTGGAGATGGTTCCGGTTTTGACGAGATGGACAGGTGAGCGATGTCTTTCAAAGACACCTTCACCAAGGCGCTCTATGGGTCATTGAGTGGTGTGGGTTGTACCTGGAAGATATCCTGGATATCCTCCTTAATTGCAAATCAGTTTCTACTGGAACAAGTTGGTGATGTTGAGCTTGAAGCTACATGATGTTGAAGGTGTTCACAGCCGTGCGTCCATGTTGAGACGGCTGAGGATGATCAGAAGGAAGGTCTCCTTGGCTATGACGACACGGCATTTTACTATTTCATCAGTAGTGCAGGGATCTTGGTCAGAGGTATTCTCGAGAGATTCCCTTGTCCTGAAAATTCAATTGCTTTAAGGTGATTGTGTCCATAGCAATACCATGGACATGTTCAATGATCTACAATGCCATCTTTCCTGGACAAGCTCAAGTGGAGAAGGACTGCCATGTCTGACGTTGGAGCTGATTTCTGGCATTTTTGATTGTAATTTGCTCGCATTCGGCCAGGATTTCCCAACGAAGAGCAAGTCTGGGAGCAAATATCGGTACTGTGCAAGTCGTTTGCTCGGCCAAGATCGGTAGGTCTCTTTGCCCAATGGAACTGCTCTCAGGTTCAGCCATGGTGGAGAAGGTAGATCAGGCACCCCGGAACCGAGTCTTCAAACTCTAAGAGGTTCAAGTGACTTCACACAACCTTCCTTGACACAAGTTTGGTGCAGCGCTTTTGGTTAGCCGAACCTTCGGATGCTTCTTCCAGGCTCGCAAACGCGCCCGGACAGGGAGCACAGGTGCCGCCCCAGCTTGGATTTGATCTCAACATATCTCAGCCTTTTCAAGCTCCGTCCGCCGTTCCCCATGCGTGGAGGCTCGACGGTCGGCTCGGCTGTAAAGCTCGCGGTCCTGGGCGGCATGTGGCACCAGCCTTGGAGGGCAAAACAACAACGGGGGGTATTAGTATGAATCGAAAGACTCCCATGGGATTGGAATATATCTGGCCGAATTATAGCGACCTCACCCGACGTCAGTTGAAAAGACGACTCAAAGTTTTGAAATAAGGGCCCATTCTTTCATCAGCTTAAAGGGGGCAAAAACCGCCGCGGTTGCTTGGTTGCCGCGCCCGTCATGTGGTTGAGCTGGGTGGTTCCCCGATATTATCTTGCAGAAATCAGCTATTTTGGAGTATTTTGGGACCTGCCCAGGCCCGAGCTTCCAAAGTTGAAATAGGTCAATTTGGGGACCTGGCCAGGCCCGAAGCTTCCAGTTGAAAAGTAACCATTTTGAGGGCCTGAGGCTTCCAAGCACTACCCTGCAACACCATTTGCCCACATGGCTCACTCTAAGCTTCGCTGGCCTTCGCCAAGTGGCTTTAGTGTTGCCTGCGTTCTGACTGAAGCAGCTCACTGTCGACCAACGTCGCTTTCAGTGCCATGCCCAGCTCTCCGGCTGCGTTTCTCCAACGCCCTGGTGGAAGTGTCACCAGAATGGGCATAAAGCAGGCCAAAGCGTCCTTATGAAGTGCACCTGGAAGAAGATGTGCTTGGAGCTAGAGTCCACCAAATTGCACATTGAGAAGTTGTTGGGCAAGATAGAGAGGTTGCTTCGGTGGGCTTGGCAATGCAGCTGCGTGAGTGGAAGAGACCCCCAAAACGAACTGGCCAATTGAACTTGTTGCCCGCAGCGCGCAGGTCTTGAGCAGAAGCTTTAGCCTTTGGCGGATGCGCCAGGATGTTGGCGCTGCCAACTAGTCAGCTGCAATTACGTGGTTCGGGTTGCAAGCTCCAGCAGCCTGTGAGGGGTTCGAGCATGGACCCTCATTGCTGGAGAGCAACTGACAAACTAATCTAGCGCGCTGGGACATGCAAGCGCCACAGGTCGGGGTTGGCCGGTTCTGACGGATGGCGTTTTTGCCTTGAGAACTAAAGAAATCGCAAGCGAGGTGTGGGACACAACAACGGTGGACGCCCAAAGCCAACCCTATCTTGCAAAAGAGGCTGAGCCAATCTGCTCGTGAATGGAAGACTGCAGTCTTTGATGGCTTCTAGCTGCGGCGCCGCTATCCGGCCACGCAACACGTGGCGTCAGATGCCACGCCAAACCCCACCCCGATTTCACCTAATACTTTCGCACTTCGGCGACCTAGCCGACCTAGCCCTTACAGTTCAAATTGAAATAGCAAATTGTGACCTAGTGACCTAGCCACCTTGGAAAAAAACAAAAGGTAATTCAACAAGATATACAGGGCTACATAGACTTTCCGTTTGCAGCATGTATACCGGGATTTGTATGTTGAAAGCGGGCGCGCATGTTAAAATGCACTTCACATGTCAAGACTGCAGCCTAACCCGCCGTAAAAAGAACAGTGTTTTTGCGCAAAAAACTATGGATTTCGACAGAGATGGATGATCAGCTGATGCAGAGGGATTGTGCTCCCATGGTCTACCACAGTGTCAAGGCTATGGCTGAACCAACAATCCAAAGCCCCAAAAAACACAACATTGGATTTTAGCATCCAAACAAGACAGTGGTGAAGAAACTTTCTCTGTGCCTGAACGCCAGCTTGGTGCCAAAACTAAAGCCCAAGAAATTATCCAAATCACAAAAAGCACACCATCAGGAGCTTCTTTCTCTGTAAGATTTAGCGGGGGCTTTGAAAAGGAATGGCTTCCTGTCAATGATGAAAGCCTGGCGCGGCAGGAAAAAAAGGTGGGAAGCACGCTCCTTCCCCACAGTCATGGCATGAAGGACCTTTTGAAGATAGTGTGTGCTTCATTGTCAAGACAACAGGCAAACAATCGCAATTTGGCCTGCAAACGACTGTCACACGGGCATGCTGAAGCAGACTGAACGGTGACACTGCGGTTTCCTAAATGTCAAGACTATTGGGAAAATCATGGCTGAAACCATTTCGACGGACTATGGAGCCCACTATATATGCAAACATCAATGACCCCTGAAGTCAGCCACCCAACCTGGGCAAATATGGCAGCCCCATGGAGTGTTTGAGGATCCATCTGTTCTTTTTGTGTGGGGCAGAGGCCTGGGACGACTTGGACAACGCATTGCAACTTGAGCCCAGGATTCTCCTTTTCGTGATCTACTTGCAACTTGGAGATGCCAAGGAAATCAAAAGGCTCGAACATGAACCTGACCGTTTCCGACTCACGGCTGCTGTGCTGTGTCTTTGTTGGCCAGGTTTGACCCCTTCGAAATTTTGGAAATCAGCCCTGGTGCATCTGCGGCAGAGGTCAAGAAGGCCAGTGGAAGTATAACTCCGTCATACGTTACTTCATCCCTTTTCCTCCTGCTTCGAGGCGTATAGAAAGCTTTCGCTGGTCTACCACCCGGACAAAAATCCGGATGACCCATTGGCCGCCTCGCGCTTCATGCAGATCACGAAGGCACCGCACCGTTTTGATCCTGCGTTTCTTTTCGCCGGAGGGCGGCGTCAATGTTCAAATCTGTCGACCGACACAGGCTCACATGGCCTTGACTGACGAGACGTCCAAAGCCAATTTCGAAAAGTGCCCAAATTTGCTAATTCCAAAGCAGAGCCCAGATGTCATATTATGTGATTACAAAATGTCATGTGACTCCCTTTAGAATCAATTGCCAGACTTTCTTGATTGTATCTGATATACATGCTTTTCGCAGGTATGGTAATCCAGATGGTGCGCAGGTTTCAAAGCTTGGAATCGGGTTGCTACGAACTCAATGAAGATCCAAGTGCATCCGGTGAACAAACGATTACGTTTCACAAAATTTATTGAGCACGTGTGCGACAAGGCCTCCTTTCCTTTTGCAGAAGGAGAACCATTTGGTTTGCCTGACAAGTTGGCCCCAAGATGATGAGACATAATGAGACCAAATGTTCTTTTTGCGTCAACCTTTGCCGCAGACCTTGAAACGTGATGAAAGTTCTCCCTTTGAGAGGCAAATACATCTCAGATTCATCACGATGCAACGGCATGTGATGCCTTTCTTTGAATGCCAGATGATTCTATGCCTTTTCTTCTTTCTCTTGCTGTTCGTTGCGACCTTGGTGTGAGCAATGCTGGTGATGCACGTTCCTTACTGTGTGACCTGCTTTGCGCATCCTTGCCTGCAGGTCGTCCCAATGGCATTTATTTGCTACTATCAGAGGAGGGTGGGTACTCTACTCATACTCACTGGAAAGACGGAATGCCTACTGAGCAACACAAGTGCCATCATTGTAGGACGAAGAACTATGCTGCAAATGGAGTGATGATCGAAACACTCCAGTTCATGGGGTAACGGCCGTCCAGCAGCTGCCAAGAGAGACCGAGCATATTGATCAATGCAATTCCATGGGTGTATATTCAAATAAGGAGACCCAAGACTCCCAAGACCCCCACAGGAAGATATGGAAAATCCACTAAAGACGGTAGTTGGCGGGTCTCCCATTTTGAATACCCACCGAAATGAATGGATTTGGATTAAGGAAGCGTTATCGGAAGCGTTTGAAAGAAAGAACTCTTGTTCTTGCAGGTACTACATCAATGAGGCGACTCGCCTTAAGAACTGCCCCGAGCTGTTGGCAGCTTCGGCCGAGAGCAGGATCGGTTGGAACTCATTGGCTGATCCAGTAGAAAACCTACACCCCCAGACCCCCCCACCAGATGTGCAAGAACGAGTTGAAAGACCGACAAGAGAGGATTGCGCTCGAAGTTTGCTCCAAGATGATGGCTTACTGTGGTTTATGGTTTACTACCCAAACTTATCACAAACATGCTGGTGCAAGCGGTTTCTATTCTGGGCCTGTCAGGGCCATGGCTTTGAGACCCTCGGACAACGAAGAGCTCAAGATGCCTTGGCCTGACTGCGTCACCGACATCCGTCACCGTTGCGATGCACTTCTCGGTGCCGACTTGACTGAGGCTGGGGACCCAAGTGACCGAGCACAAGAAGCGGCAGTTCAAGCTGCCCATCATCATTAAGTGCGCCGCATGTCATCGCACGTCCGATCGAACGACGGTGACGGTTTCAGTGAATAACACCAGAGTGAGAAGCTATAATCCGGGTCGACAAAAACACATCAGATGGTCATAGTGTTCATAGCTGACCTCGGAGTATGGAAAACCTGCATAACTGATACGGAACAACCCGGGTCCATGACCGATACCTCCGTTAAATATAGACATCATACATCACAATACAATAATGTTGACTCTTGATTAATCAACCCGCCTTCCCCCTCCTTCAACAATTGGAGACCCTAGAATAATATGATAGAAAACCAATCTATTGATGAAAACAAAAGGAATCATTACTTAGGTATCTCAATCTTTGGCAATACTTCAAAATAAAGGAATCAAGAAACATAGGATTGAAGACATCTGCAGTAATATGCAATAAAAAGCAACAATATATACAAAAATAAAACCCATTCCCCCAAATATGTCCCTCAAAATAGCACATTATTCTGGGGGTCTTTATTGATCTGTGCAAGAAATTTGTTGACATTATTCTCGATGCATTTATGAATCAGAGGTCCACATGATATTGCGACCGATGATGGCCTGCTCCCAATTCTTCATTACGATCATTATGTGAAAGTTCTGGGTGCAAAAACCTTCACAACTGGCAATTTGGCGCACAGCATCGCACATTTGCTCATGGCATCTACTGGCCATGACGTTACCATTGATCATTTGCTGATCATTCGGTCCCTCACTGTAAACAACGAACATCCTTGATAATCCTTTTGTACATGTTTTGTGTTCCAAGGCCACTTGATGCCACTCGTCTCCACTCCCCCCGCTGGCCCGCTCCCTTTCGCCCGGCCAATCCCTAGGCCCCCAGCCCGCTCCCTTTTTGTAAAAAGATGAAAGTGATGGCCTTCACGAAAACTCCATTGGCCGCTTCAATGGCTATGCATGGCTTCTTCTCGGCAGGAATGATTATCTACTGATGGCGCACATGCAGCGACTGCATCACCTGATGTCGCCGGAGCTGCGGGCAGATCTGGACGAGCTGCTGAGGCGCTAAGATCGATGGGATGCGCGGTGCGGCGTGCGGAGTTCGGACGGGGCGGAAGAGCGTCGGTGGTGCCGAAGGTATCATGCAACACATTGACTCAATCATATATCATTCATATATATTATATATATAAGTACATACTATACAACAATTTTATACAGATGCATGGATGTGTGCAAGCACCAACAGATTGGAGGAAAGCTATTCACCCTGAGGCACTCTCTCAAGATCACCCAAGCCATGATTGAGATCGCTTGTATGCGCGAATGGCCGGGGGACTGAGATGACGCCCTCTATGGGGCTCAATGCCGGTCTGCGCTCAAAAAGGGTTCGGTGCATGGGATGGCCACTTTCCCTTTGACGGGTTTGGATAGCTACTTTCACTTCTTTGGGAGTCTGGAGTCTGTGCCACGTTTTTGGCCGCTACCCAGGTTCTTCACTGCTCAAGCTATGATTGAGTTCCGCCGCTCCTTGATTCAGGTCGGACGGCCGTTTTCTCTTTGGTCGCAGACATGGGCGCTCCTTCGTTTGTGTAGGCGTTGGACGTGAAGAGCTCGCAGCTTCTCCAGATTCCTCACTTCAATGAAGAGACCCTGAAGCATCCTGGCTTCGAAAGGGATTGAAACGGGTTTTGGCTTTGCTGGGTGCGTCCACATCTAGCGAACCTGCCAAGCAAGGTGGCCTACCCCCCCTTCCAGGGGCGATCAGACCGACCATGTAGATCATATGACCGACCATGTAGAACCATCGTGGGGAGCTTTTTCAGTAGAGCTAACGGTTGCAGGAACAGACATTTAAGGAAACCGATGGAAACTGTCATGTAGATCTAGGTGTTCATCCTGTTTCGCAGACCGAGGCACTGCCTCAAGGGCAAGAATGCCGCACGGGGTCCTAGAAACATCGATAAGGCGAGGCGGTTGACGGGGTTCACCCCAAGTGTTGGTGGCCTGAGACCGCGATGCTGACGGACTATTTGCAGAAGGACAAGGATCAGAGAAAGGCCGTCAGCATCGACTCAAAGTGCGTGGTGAACTGATGACACAGATCGCAGACGTTTTCTTGCAGGGTCTTTCCTCCATGACACCAGATCAGATCGCAGACGTGGAGGCTGTGTCCGGATCATGGGGAGATCTAGATGTCTTCCTTCATGGGCTGGGGGAGATCTAGAAAGGACTTGGGTATACAATGATATACATGGGTGGAGGTGAGGTGATGGTCCAGAGGGAGGAATTGGACACCAGCGTCCACTGCAACAGGTTGGAGCTTGGTTCCGCTTGGCCTTTTGAAGCGTTCAGCCGCGATGGTTTCGCGGCTGGCCGGTTTTCAGGCGTTTGCAAGTCACTGCAGCAACATGGAGGTCAAGGCCATAACAGAGGCGCGTTTCGAGGGCGGAGAGCTGCCGAGGCAGCTCGTCTCGGCACGGGGGTCCAGTGAAAAAGAGCGGGTCCTCTCAGCGGAAAAAGAGTGCGATCGGTGGAGGAGGAGGGATAGTCTTGCTTTTTGCCCTGAAGAAATGGCGAAGTTAGAACTTTGCTCTTGGAATGTTCATCGACCCGATTTTTTTAAGAACGGGATCCCGCCTCCAACGAATTTCTGTGTCAGCTTGGCAGGTGGAAGATGAGAAGGAGATCGTTGTTGGGGACATTGCAACGGTCACCGTCCAGCTCTTGTGCGCCCACTTCGTGAGTTTGAGCAGCTTGTGGGATTCAAACCTGTAAAAGACTGCAGGCGCAAGAACTTGCATGAGGATGAGGCTGGAGATCGAGAAACGATCGCTGGAGGATAACCAAAAATCAAGTCAAATAAACTTTATGAACTCTATAAAAGTAGTAGGATATCGATGATGTTCAACATGCCTAAAATTGTACAAACATGTTAACAAGTATCAGACCAATTGTGTCAATTAAGAACATGAAACAGGCGCACAAGATGATTTGTGGATTTATATGGATTTATGGCAAACATTCAGTCTCCGTTTTGGGGTCAGAACATGGGGACCCCTCATTCTGCCCATCCTTTGTCCGACGTCCAACATCCGACGGGTCGTCTGGGTCTGTTCGATACCACCAGGCCATGGGCCCAGTCCATGCGCCTCTCTTCCCAGAGCCCAAGTTCGAAGAGTGGTGGATCTTCCTGGCTACAGACCTCAGAGACGACTGACTGGGTTCCACTAATCGAGGGAGGTCAGAAAACACGAGTCGTGGAGGGTGGACCAGTGGGGGTGATGGTCGTGGTTGTGGTTCAAAGAAACGCGCCATCACGTGCCATAACGTTTTTTTGTTGCTCCTGTCGCTGAGTGTGGACATGCAAGAGTCAAAGCAATTGCTGTGGCTACAACCTTTAGCAAGCATCCACTGACCCCGATTGCATCGATTGCTGAGTGGGTTTGTGCACCAGGACCACTGTTTGAAAATGCTTGAAACACAGGCCGGGCTCGGCTTTGCCAAGTGCTGTGGAAACCCCGTGTGAGGTGGAAGGTGCTCCGAACACCAGGATCATCGGATTTGAGACGCAGTCTCAGAGCAGTTTTCGAAGATCGGAAAGCATCAGTTTTGATACCTTTTCCATCCCTTTTCCATGAAGGTTGGCCTGAAAGACACCGAGTTTGATTTATATCATCACTTTACAGACATTAGTCATTAGGGTCTAAATATGCATTGTCAATAGGGATGAGGTCCCAGTATAGTTGCTATACAGGTACATGCCGTAGCCATTTTGGCTCAAGTGCCCAACCAGGTAAAAAAGGAGCTTTAGCGCGCGAGCTTCATGTTGAACTAAGGGCTAGA